GGGGCTGAGCCAGGATCAGATGAGAGGGGGCTGAGCCAGGGTCAGGATGTCCACACTGGGGCTGGGACAATGTTTGCTCTGAGGATGTGGCCCAGGCTTATGGAGAAACCCCCCGCACTGTCCTGCAGGCAGACAGACTCTTCCTTCTCTAATGATGGCCCAGGATTCCTAAGGGCTGTGGCTCCAGAAAAAGGAGGAAGACATCTAAGTGGAGTGAGACAGACCAGGCTCAAAGCCCTCTTACCAGCTCTGCAACCCTGGGCCTCAGTTTCCTCATCAGGGAGAAAGAAAAAGGTAGCCCTGACTCTGGGCCGCTGAGCAGACCAGGACGCACAGCGAGGCTGTGGTGTTCTCCCACAAACATAAATAATCTCCCAGAACACCCCCATGAGATAAGGCCATGGGTGATGGAGTAAGGCAACAAGACCACTCCATCATCATGTTTGAGCCCAGACAAAAACAAGGTCATGGTGCACACCGCAAAAATGAGCAAACATCTCCCTTGCCCAATTAAGGTGAGTGACTGCTGCATTAGCCTTACTCTGTCCCCCCACCAGATTAAAAAGATTAAGATGCCCAGTCATATCATTACCCCACTTCCTGACAGCATCCAATCCACAGCAACACCACACTTCACTGAACCATCCCCCCAAATCACCCAGCACGATCCCAACTCACATGCCCGTTGTTATGGATTGAACTGCATCACCCCAAAACGTGTGTCAATTTGGCTAGGTCATGATTCCCAGTATTGTGTGACTGTCCACCATTTTGTCTTGTGTTATAAATCCTACCTCTGTGATATTAATAAGGCAGGATTAGAGGCAGTTATGTTAATGAGGCAGAACTCAATCTACAAAATTAGACTGTGTCTTAAGCCAATCTCTTTCGAGATGTAAAAGAGAGAAGTGAGCAGAGAGACAGCGGGACCTCATATCACCAAGAAACAAGAGCCAGGAGAATAGCGCATCCTTTGGACCTGGGGTCCCTGTGCTGAGAAGCTCCTAGACCAGGGGAAGATTGATGACAAGGACCTTCCCCCAGAGCTGACGGAGACAGAAAGCCTTCCCCTGGAGCTGGTGCCCTGAATTTGGACTTCTAGCCTCCTAGACTGTGAGAGAATAAATTTCTGTTTGTTGAAGCCATCCACGTGTGGTGTTTCTGTTATAGCAGCACTAGAGAATACACCACCGAACACCTTCTTACTGAGGTGCACCATGGTTCTCCACGCTGTGTGATCTCCTGCATTGCAAAAAGCCAATAAACTCAACTTCGTTTGGCTACAAGGAGATTCCTGGTGGCTTTTGGCTGGAGGGCTGTTATGAGTTGAATTGTGTCCCCCTAAAAGATAGATTGAAGTGCTAACCCTCAGTACCTGAGAATGTGACCTTGCTGGCAAACAGGGTCTTTGACGATGTTATCAGCTAACGTGAGGTCGTGCTGCAGCAGGGTGGGCCCTGATCTCTCTATGACTGGTACCCTTTTAAGGAGAGAAAACAGAAGCCCCCGGGGGAAGATGGCCGTGTGAAGATGGACTGATGGTTCTACAACCAGGGCTCTGAACCGCTTCATTCCGGTTCAACCCCCTGCTGAGAATTTGCCCTTCTGCCCCAGATATACCGAATCAGAATCTACATTTTAACAAGATCCCCAGGTGATTCTTACGTATAATAACTTTGAGAACCACCGCTCTATGAGCAGTTCTCAGCATTAGTCCCTAACTAGTAGCATGAGCATCACCTGGGAACTTGTTAGAAAGACAAATTCTCAGCAGGGGGTCGGACCGGTTCGAAGCCCTGGCTACAACACATGGAATGCCAAGACTTGCCAGGAACTACCAGAAACTGAGAAGCAGCAAGGAAGGCTCTCTCCCTAGAGCCTTTGGAAAGAGCACGGGCCTGCTGCTACCTTGATTCTGGACTTGCAGTCTCCAAAACAGTGAGGCAATACTTTTCTGTTTTAAGCCACCCAGTTTGCGGTACTTTGTTAGGACCGCTTTAGAACGCCAAGACAAGGGCACTGAAATGGGAATCCTGTTAGGACCAGTCTTGGTTTTGCCTATCAGCTCCATGCCTTCTGCTTCCAATAACAGCACCCCAATTTACTTTGGAGAATGACCCTTCTCTTTCCCAGTCCATAACTTTGGAGGGTGCTGATCCCAGTCTTGGCCTGGGGTGGACACGTTACATAGATGTGGCCAATTAGATCACTGCACACCCTGGGGCCACAATGATTGGCTGAGGGATGGGGATGAAACTCACAGTGGCTTTCCTTGGACCTTTTATCAGAATTAACAGGAGCCCTGGTGGCGCAGTGGTTAAAGGGATTGGCTGCTACCTGAAAGGTTGGTGGTTCGAACCCAGAAGCTGCTCCTTGGGAGAAAGATGTGGTAGTCTGCTTCCATAAAGATGACAGCCTTGAAAACCCTATGGGGCAGCTCTACTCTGTCCTTTAGGGTCACTATGAGTCAGAATCAACTTGACGGAAACAGGTTTTGTCAGAATTAGTGAGAGAGAAGGTCCTGTCTCCTACTGGTTCTGCTAAGCTGCTGGGATATAAATGGTAGGGCTGAATGATTCCAAGTGCACACCAAAGGGGAGGGACTGCCCAACAGTGACACCAACAAAGAGACTAGAGGTGAAGAAAGATCATCCCTGGATCCAGCTATGCCTGAAGCCAACCCACCCTCCCTGGACTTTTTAGTTACATAAACCAATATGTTTCCCTTTTCTCCTTAAGCCAATTGGATTGAGTTTCTATCACCTGCTGCTGAGCAGGCTCTGACTATACATTACCTTACACAGGCCTGTCTGTGTGTGTGTGTGTGTGTGTGTGTGTGTCTGTGTGTGTGTGTAACGGTATTTACTGAGTTCAGGCTGAGAAGGACTTAGCACATAGCAAGTGCTCAAATAGGAGGTATTACTGCTGAATCTCAAAGCAGAAAGAAGTCGTGTGGTCCAACCTGCCACCCAAAGCACTAATCCCCCCCATAATATTCCTGATGGAGTGTGATCCTGGTTTCTGCTTGAATGCCTCCAAGGACAGGGAACTCACTCCTTCCTTCCGTCCCTCAGGAACCATTCTGCCTCTATTAGCACCAACTTTGAAAATCTCCCTCCCCTTCCCCGACCCCAGACTCACCCTGCAGCTGGGAGAAGCGAAGAGCAGCGGCGTTGAGCGCCTCCACCCGCTCACTCTGGGCTGCAATGTCCCCCTCCAGCAGCCCATGCTTCTGCAGCAAGTCCTCCGCCTCCACCAGGTGCTGCCCACACTCCCGGGACAGCAGCTGAGCCTACATGTGGGGGCGACACAGCATACTTCAGGCCTTGCCCTCAGGCCCCTTCCCCCACCTCATGGTCCAGGCCAGCCCTCCACTCACTGGCCCCCCAGAGCCCATTGCTCTGAACTCTGAGCTCTGTCTACGGTCTTCCTGTCTCTGTCAGCATCTCTCTCTGCCTGTCTCTCTCTGAATGTTTCCGTCTCTCACTGTCTCCACATTTCTGGGCTCTCTCTCTGTCATGGTGTCCCTTGTCTCCATCTTTCTCCCTCTCCATCTCTCTGTGTCTGTATCTCTCTCTGCCTCCCTGTCTGTCTACATCTCTTCCTCTCTCTCTGTGTGTCTGTATCTCTCTCTCTGTCTCCATCTTTCTCTGTATCTATCTCTGGTAGGTCTCACCCTTTCTCACATTGAGTGCATCTTCCTATGTATCTTTCTCCGTGTCCAGCTAGATTTCCACGGCTAACTCCGTCTCTGCCTCTCTAGCTCCCTCTCTCTCATCTCTCTCAATCGTTCCCTCATACTGTCACCATCTTCCTCTGGCTTCATCTCTCTGTCTTGGTCTGTCTCCAGCTCTCTCTGTCTCTTTATCTCTCTGTGTCTTTTTCTCTCTCTCTATTTTCTATCTCAGAGCGCTGGTGGCTCAGTGGTTAAGAGCTCGGCTGCTAACCAAAAGGTTGGCAGTTCGAATCCACCAGCTGCTCCTTGGAAACCCTATGCGGCAGTTCTATTGTGTCCTATTGGGTGGCTATGAGCCGGAATCGACTCGACAGCAATGGGTTTATTTTCTCTGTCTTTCTCTCCATCTCTCTTTCTCCCGTCTTTCTCTTTATCTCTTTCTGTCTCTCTCTTCCCTTCCCTCTCTGTCTCTCTGACATCTCGCTCAGTGTCTTCATCCCTCTCCCCTCCCCGCCCATCACCCCCATCCCTGCCCCTGGTCTGGGCCCCACACCTGCATCTCTTCCATCCAGTCCACCATGTACACCATCTCCTGGAAGACCTTCTGCAGGGCCAGGTTCTGCTCGAGCCGTGTCCGCCGGGCACCTACCAGCCCAGTCAGCAGGGCCCACTGGCGCAGGACGCTGTCGCGCTGGGCTGCCACCCGCCGGGCATCATAGTAGCCTTCAGCCGCCAATGCCTGGGCTAGCTCCGCCACGCCCTGCACGCGCTCCTCATAGGCCGCGATGTCAGCCTCGATTGCCTCGTGCTTCTTCATGGCTGCCTCCACTGCTGGCAGCTCATACCCAAAGTTGTCCTGGGGCAGTGCAGGCCACACACACTCACCTATGCTGCTGCAGCCATCCACCTGTGGCCTTGACCCTGTGTCACCCTGGAAACTCCCGCACCCTCCCTGTTACCCTGCACACCAGCCCCACTGTCTTCTGTTACCCTGGAGATCAGCCCCACCATCCCCAGTTACTCTGGAGACAAGTTCCATCCTCGCCTGTTACCCTGGAGACCAGCCACATCCTCTCCTGTTACCCTGGAGACCAGTCCTACCATCCCCTGTTACCCTAACTGTGTTACGCAGGACACCAGCCCTACCTTCCTCTGTGACCTTGATCCTGACTCAGTTAACCTGGAGACCACCCCACCCTTCCCTGTTACTACATCTCTAACCAAAACTCGCTCCCCAGCAAGCAGGTCCCATCCTTCCATTGCCCTGGAGACTGAGGACCAGGTCTACCCTATCGTGTTGCTTAGGGAACAAATTCTATCCTCCTGAGTTACCCTGGACACCTAAGAGCCTCACTTAATATTTCCCCTATTTCTGGAGAGACTAATTCTGCTCTGTCTAGTTACCCTGGAAATCAAGCCCACTCTCCTCACCCACCGATCGCCTAGGAGACCAGTTCTAACCCTTCTGTGTTGATTAGGAAATCTAGTCTCCCACTCTGGTCTCCAGGGCCACTGGCCACACCCTCCCTCCATTTCCCCCAGAGCCAAGCCCCGCCCCTTGTACCTGGGAGACCAGGCGCTGGTTCTCGTTCAGCCAGCTCTCCCTCATGGCCACCTTGTGGTCAAACCGCTGGGCCAGTAGCTCCAGCTTCTCCTGGCGGACCAGCTCGGCCCGTAGGGCAGCCTCCCGCTCGTGCTCGGCCTTCTCCAGCTCACCCCATGCCTGGGGAGAGACGAGGAGGGGGTCAGACGCCAACAATTCCCCACAGCTTCACGGCTCCTCTGCCCAAGGCCACCCCTAGCCCTTCTGCTGTATTTGTGCAAATTGGAGGAAAACCATCACTTCCTTGGGACAGTTCACTGCAGGAAAACTGTCAGAATGACTGTCCAAATCCACAGCGTCTAGGATGTGAACGGCTCCCTTGAGCAGTGCACAACCTACACAACGCCACAGTGCAGCCCTGCCTCTCCCCCACATCCTGACCTCACCTTGTCGACATCCCAGATGCCACAGCCCTCCCGGGGCACGAAGAGGCGGCGGTTGCAGGCGCGCAGTTTGCTCTGGATGCTAAAGAGCAGCACCTCCAGGTTCCCCTTCTCCTGGAACCTGAAGGGGAGTGAGCTCAGGAGCCCTGTCTCCGTGCCTCCCCGCCCTCCCGCACGCCCCCACCCCCCACAGCCAGGCCTCACTTGACGGGCTTCTCCAGCGTGCAATAGGCCGTGAACGACTGAAGCTGCTGCTGTACCCCACTCAACGAGTTGGCAAACTTCTGGTTGCTGATGAGGCCCACGGTCCGGTGGATCCAGGCCAGCAGCTCGGCCGCTAGCTCCTCATAGCGCTCAATGATCTTCCCCACCTCCAACACTTGGTCCAGGACCTGACCCAGCAAAGCAAGGTGGGCTCGGCCTCATGCCACATTGCCCCTGGGTGGGTCCCAGGCTCCCACTGCTCCACTCCTTGGCTCCTGATACCTTCCCAATCCGCTTTCCCTCCACAGCCAGAGCCTTCATCTTGGAGAAATAGTGGTAGAAGGAGACCACGTAGGTGATGATGGACTTCTCATCCGGAGCCTCCATGTTCACATCTAGGCAGGACAGGAGTGAGGAGGCATGATGGTGGGCACTCCGACAGAGGGACTGAGGGATTGGGTGGCAGGCAGGAGATCCCGCACTTACTAGCTGTGTGACCATGGGCAAGATAATTAACCTCTCTGTTTTTTGGTTTTGTTTCTGCCAAGTGGGGATCTACCTCATGAGATTCAGTAGTGCCTGACACATATATATCACCACAGAGAAATGATCTATTATTATTTCCCGAACATGCCATTCTGTCTCCCACCTCAGAGCCTTTGCACATGCTGTTCCCACTGTCTGTAACACTGTTCCCTCTTCTGTTTGCCTAACTTCCACTCATCCTTCAGGGCTCAACTCCACTTAGCTTTTCTCAGTCAAGCCTTCCTGCTCTCCCTGTCTAGAGCTGGTCTCCTCATGTTGTTCTCCCTCATCACATCTTATCATTTTCTTCCCAGACTTATCACAATTTGAATGAATTACTTACTTATGTGATTATGTCACTACTTGTGAGCTCCCCGAGGATGAGGCTTATGCTTATCTTTTTGCCACTCTTCCAGATACGCCAAACACACAGGAACCTAACTAGCTCACCAGCTGCTGTAGAATTGACTCCAACTCATGGTGACCCCATGTGTGTCAGAGTAGAACTGTACTCCACTGGGTTTTCAATGGCTGATTTTCAGAAGTAGATCACCAGGCCTTTCTTCTGAGGTGCCTCTGGGTAGACTCGAACCTCCATCCTTTCGGTTAGAAGCTGAGCATGTTAACTGTTGGCACCACCCAGAGACTCCAACACACAGTAGGAGCTCAATAAGAATTTACTAAGTGTATGAGGTTTGTTGTTAAGGACACAGGCTTTGGAGGCACGATGAGCTGGAGCCCCAGCTCAACCACTTACTCACTGTATATTCTTAGAAAATGGATCTAACTTTTCTGGGCCTTGGTTTCCCCATTGTTGGAGTAAAGATAATACAGCACTGGCTCCTAGGAACATAGTATTAGAGTGTTAGAGAGAATAGCCTGGTACAGAGAGGGCACTCAGCAAATTTCATTTATCATTTTAATTTACCCACTGAATTCACAACACTGTACTTGCCCTTTACGCTTCACTACCTCATGAAAGTGATATCAGTTAAACACCTACTGTGTGTCTGGCGCTGAGCATAGAACTGAGCTATAAGGGGCAGGGTAGAGGAATGCTTAAGACCATGAATTACGGAGTCAGAAGGTAATTTATTGATTTTCACCGTGAGGCTGGGCAAGTGACTTCACATCTCGCAGTCTCCATTCCCACCACTTTAAAACACGATTGATAAATTCTACCCAACCATATCAGTGTGATGATGAAAGGGAACCATTTCGGCGAAGTTCCCAGTCATGTGCTGGGCACGGAGTATATTCTTGAAAAAGGGAGCAGCTTTTATTCCAGAGATGGAAGATTGGTGTTGGGGTGATTATGGATTGGGGATGAAGGTGAAGTCAAAGACGGGGTTGGGGATAGACTGAAAATAGGAAGGGGCTGCGGATGAGGATGGAGTTGTGCAGGAGGGTAGACCTGAGAACGGACTGAGAATAGACATGGGGGTGTAAATAGTATTGGGGTTGGGGATGGGAATGGAGCTGAACATGTGGTTGGGGTTGGGGAGGATGTTGGGGATAATGTGGGAGATGGGATTGGGGTTGGAAAGGGAGAGAAGGCTGGGATTGGGGAGAGATGGCTGGGGATGGGGTTGGGGATAGGGATGGTGTTGGGTATGGGGATGATGTTGGGGTTGGGGAGGAAGAGGGAGTTGGGATGAGGGACAGATGGTTGGTGATGGGGCTGGGGTCACAGATGGCATTGAGGTTGGGATAGAGGTTGAGGGTTGTATTGAGGTTGGGATGGTGTTGGGCTTGGGGAGGGAAAGAGGGCAGAGATTGGGAGAGAAATGATTGGAGATGGGGTTAGGGGTCAGGGATGGTATTGGGGTTGGGATGGGATGGTGTTGGGTTTTGGGCTAGGAGGGAAAGAAGATTCAAATTGAGGAAGAGATGGTTGGGAATGGGGTTGGGGACGAGGGAGGGGTTGAGGACTGTCATGAATTGAATTGTGTCCCCAAAAAATATATGTTGTAAATCCTAACCTCTATGCCTGTGGTTATAATCCCATCTGGGAATGGGTTGTCTTTGTTATGTTAATGAGGCAGGATTAGCGTAGGGTGTATCTTGAGTCAATCTCTTTTGAGATATAAAAGACATTAAACAAGGAAGCAAAACAAGTAGAGATGGGGTAAGATAGATGCCAAGACACCTGGACATTTCTAAGGAACCAGGAAGAAGCAGCTGAAGAGACAAGGACCATCCTCCAGAGCTGACAGAGAGAGAATGTGTTCCCCTAGAGCAGGGGCTCTGAATTCAGACTTCTAGCTTCTTAAACTGTGAGAAAATAAATTTCTGTTTATTAAAGCCATCCACTTGTGGTATGTCTGTTACAGCAGCACTAGATAACTAAGACATAATTTGGTACCAAGAAGTGGGGTGCTGCTCTAACAGATACTTAAAATGTGGAAGCAGTTTGGAATTGCATAATGGGTAGAGGCTGGAAGAGTTTTAAGGTGCCTAATAGTAAAAGCCTAGATTGCCGTGAAGAGATTGTTGATAGAATTATGGACGTCAAAGGCAATTCTGGTGGGGGCTCAGAAGGAAGGGAGGAGAGCCATAGGGAAAGTATTTATCAACTTAGAGAATACATATGGGGCCAGCAACACAATGTTGCTAGAAATGTGGACGTTAAATGTGCTTCTGGTGAGGCTTTAAAAGAAAATGATGAACATGTGATTGGCCCACGGAGGAAGGGCGATGTTTGTTCGGCAGTGGCAAAGAACTTGTCTGAATTATGTTTAAGTGTTTGGTGGAAGGTAGAACTTTAAGTGATGAACTTGGATATCTGGCTGATGAGATTTCTAAGCAAGATCTTAAAGGGGCTGCATGGTTTCTTCTTGTTGCTTATAGCAAAATTTGAGAGGAAAGAGATGAACTTCAGAATGAACTGTGCAAAATGAAAGCAGAACTTAAAGATTTGGAAACTTCTGTTGTACAAACTAAGGACATGTGTCCTAGAATTTTCACCAAGGACATAGCAACACAATTTTTTGTTAAAGAGATTAAGCCTGTGACTGATGGATCTAACCAACTACCACAGCAGAAAACCCATCAGCTTAGACTGAAGGGGATAGAGAAAGAACGAAAGGAAAGAATGCTGTCTGCCTCTTGGAATTCTACAGGCAAGAAACAGGCCAAAGGAGCTACATCTGTTGTCCTCCAAGAAAAGAAAAGGACCATCCCTGGAACAGCTCGCAGATCAGCAAAACTGCTGGAAGGAGCAGAAAGCAGGACCTTCTCGGTTTCAAAGGGTGGGGCCATGGTCTCATGGATCTCAAAGAGTGGGGCCACAGCCTCCTAGGTTTCAAAGAGTCGGATCTTAGCCAACTAGGTTCTGGAGAGTGGGACGGCTGTTAAGGTGTGCTAGGGGGATGGGGCTGCCACCCAAAGCTGAGGGGGTGGGTCTCCCATGCCCAAGGGGAAGAAGAATGGGGCCTGCCAGGGCCGAGGGGATGGGGCACCACTCTGATGGACTAGGAGAATGGGGCCACCCAAAGCCAAGGGAGCAGAGTTGTCATCCCAGTGGGCCTGGAAGGTGGAACTGAAGCCCAGGGCTCAGGGGCCTCCACCCAGAATCCAGAGGGCATGGCAAACAACCAGAGTCTGGTGGGTGGGTCCACTGTCCAGATGGTCTGAGAGAACAGAAGATTATTTTCAAGCTTTGAGAGCTAATGTAAATTGTTCTGCTGGGTTTTGGACTTTCTTGGTGCCTGTTATCCTTTCTTTTCCTCCAATTTCTCCCATTTGTAATGGAAATGTCTACCCTGTGTCTGTTCCAGCATTGTTCTTTGGAAACAGGTAACTCGAGTCTAGATTTCACAGGTTCACAGATGAGGAGGAATTTTGCCCCAGGATGAAACACATTTAAAGTCTCAGCCCTATTTGATTTAGATGGTTCAGAAGATGAGATTTTGGACTTGATGCCGATTTAAGACTTTGGGGGATGATGTGATGGGGTGAATGTGCTTTGCATGTGGCAAGAACATGAATTTTGGGGGTCAAAGGGTGGAATGTCATGGATTGAATTGTGTTCCCAAAAATTATGTGTTGTAAATCCTAGCCTCTATGCCTGTGGCTACAATTCCATTTGTGAATGGGTTGTCTTTGTTATGTTCATGAGGCAGGATTAGTATAGGATGTGTCTTGAGTCAATCTCTTTTGAGACATTAAAGAGATAAAATGCAAGCTAGCAAGCAGAGATGGGGGAAGAGAGATGTCAAGCCACAGGAAGATTGCCCAGGAGCAGAAGTTCAAAAAGAGACAAAAGACCTTTCCCCAGACCTGACAGAGAGAGAAAGCCTTTCCCTAGAGCTGGCACCCTGAATTCGGACTTCTAGCCTCCTAAACTGTGAGACAATAAATTTCTGTTCGTTAAAGCCACTCACTTGCGGCATTTCTGGTATAGCAGCACTAGGTAACCAAGACAGGGAGGGAGAAGAATTACAGACAGGGAAGGGCAGAGGGTTGGGATAGGGAGCAGACTGGGATTTGGGATGGCCTTGGGATTTGAGATGGTGTTGGCATTAGGGTGGAGTTGAGTTTAAGATGGCACTGGGGTCGGGAGTTCCCCAAGAGGAAGTCTGGGCCGGGGCCATGCGAGTCTCACCCTCAGGGTCCAGCAGACGCGCCAGCCCTAGGTGCTGCTCAGCCGTGCGGAAGGCTCTCTGAAGGTTGTAGTTGGCGTTGGACTTGGTGAGTTTGCTGAAGTCCACGAGATCAGGCCTGGGCACGGCACAGAGCGGGCAGGCAGCAGGCAGGTTCCAGAGTGGGTGGGGAAGCAGGTGAAAAGACATCCTTGTCTGAGCCCCACCCAGGACAAGGGGCAGGTAGGCGAACAAATACAGTCGAGGGGGTAGCTGGGTGTGCTGGTACATGTCTGTGCGGCTTTCGTCTGCAGGTGTGAGTGTGATGAGCCCGGGGCATGTCTCCACGGGTTCTTTTGTATGTGTGTGCATTTATTTCTGGGTGCAGGTAAGCTGGCCCTTGTGCACGGAGGTGTGGGTGGGTCAGTGTGTGGGTGCTTCGAAGAATTAAATCCACATGATCATGGACCGGGGATGTGCCTGTGTGTCCCCGTAAGACTATCTGACAATCTGAGTGTGTGTACATCTTGAGTATATAGACCTTCAAGTGTGTTGCGTGGGGGTGCATGCATCCGGGTGTGTTTATACACACTATACCATACGGTTGGAAGTGTGAGGTCTGGCTCGGCCACTTCCTGGCTGTGTCACTCCGGGGGAGTTACTCCACCTCTCTGTGCCTCAGCTTCCTCGTTAGCAAAATGGGGATTATAATAGCATCTGCCTCACGGGGTCCCTGTGAGAATTAGATGGCTTATTGGAAAGCACTCAGAACAACGCCTGCCCTGTAGAAAGCCCTCGATGAAGGTTACCGATTGCTCGCGTGACTCTGGCTCGGGCTGGTGGGTGTCTGTGTGTGCAGGTGGGACCGGCTCCCCCAAACGTGTAGGGGTGTGTGTATGTGTGATAGTTAGAGGTAGTGAGTGAACGTATGTCCGCAGCAGGAAAAGGTGGATTCTACCTTCAGCTTCACCAGAGCAAGTCCCTCCCAGCCTCTGGGCCTCAGTTTCCCCAATCTGTCACGTGGACGATCATGATGTAGGTGTAATGTGTCTTGGTGCACATGCCCCAGCCCGCTCAGTGTCAGGTACGACACTGAGGTAGGAACATGAGGTATGAACAGGTGAGTGTGTAGGGAGCCAGGAAGGGGGCTTGGGGACCCACCTTGAGGAAGGATTTTCTGATGGGAGGAGGCGCTGTGGACGCACCAGAGTGGGCAGTCCGGGGGGTGCCTGCCCCTCCCTAGGGCCGACTAAGCAGCAGGCACAGGCTATGCATGTACCTGTGTATCTGCATGTATGTGCACGCATCTGGCGACAGCACACGTGTTTCCATGTGTACGTGGGGTATGCTGTCTGGACGGGGTGTGCGTACCTGGGTATAATTGTGGGGGGTGAGTGTGGAGAGAAATGTGTACATGTGTGCAGAGTGTGACAGGATGGGTATTTGTGCCTGGGTGTGTGTGTCTATATACAGAGGTGTACAGGGTACATGTGAGGGGACATGGGGTAGGGGACAGAGCAGTGCTGGGCTGGCCAGGCGATGTCGTACCTGTGCCGGTGAATGAGGGCATTGAAGGCCAAGCCATCCCGCCAGCTGGTGGTGAAATTCTGGATGTTTACCTCGGGGTAACTGGGAGAGAGAGAGGCAGAGACGGAGAGAGTCAGGAGGGGATCGGGAGGGAGGAAGGGAAGAAGAGAGAGAGAGAAAGAGGTGGAGAGAGCCAGGGGGATGGAGAGAGAGACAGACATAGAGACAGGAGAGGAGAGAAAGAGAGAGACGGAGGGAGGGAGGGAGAGAGAGAGACGGGGATTGGGAGAGACAAGAACAGAGAGAAAGAGAGTAGCAGGAGGTGAGACAAGGGAGGGAGAGAGGGAGACAGAGAAGCAGTGATGGGAACGAAGAAAGCAGGTCTAGAGATAATGACAGACACTTGGAGAAACAGATGTCATTGCAAGACAGACAGACAGACAGCCCCAGAAGGATGAGTTGCTAGAGCCCACTCCATCTCTGCCCCGCCCCTCCTCCAGAGGGCACTTGGGGTTTGGGCCATGCCCCTCCCCACAGGGCATAGAGTTGGGGGCCCAAGGAAACATGCCCATCATAGCACACACCCACTTCTCAACCACACTGAGGGTGCCCAGGACCCTGAGATTCCCTGCCCAGGCAGCCTGAGCCCACTCCCAGGGTGGGCAGACCACTCCCTGGTGTGTGCCCTCCTAGGCTGAGGTGTGGCTGCTCATGGCGGGCGGGGTGGCCGGAGCTTGGACATAAAGGCTGGGGGGTCCACACAGGTGCACGCAAGTCCTCTTGAGGTGCAGAATGAGATGGAGGAGGGGGAGAAGGGACACCGATCTCAGAGGAGACCAAGAATTCCAAACGTGAACCTGGCCTTCCGGGTTGTTGTAGAGGTCAAGTTCGAAGAAGTGGAAGTATTTTTTTTTTTTTACCAGTTCCTCAGCTTCAGATGTAACTCTGTGACCCCGAGTATGTGGCTGCCCCTTGCACTCCTGTCCGGGAACCCCAGAGGTCGGGGGGGGCCTGCCTGTGGGGTGGGGAGCCACTCACCCAGCTGTCTTCATCTGACACCACAGGAGCAGCGCATCCTTGGCCGAGCGCGTCTCTCTGTTGTCCTCGGTCTCAATTTTGATGACTTGAATCTGTGAGGATACAAGGCATGACCACTGGGGCCTCGAGGGCTTGAGGCTGGGAGATCCCACCTCTCCAACCCTGCTGCAGGTGACAGAGGAGACGGGGGAGTGGCTTCAGGCTGGGAATGAGTGTGCAGGAGTGGGAATGGAGGAGGCCAAGATACCCAGTAATTGGGGGAGGCGGTGGTGGATTTGGGTCTCAGTTTCCACAAAAGCCTCCAAACTTGGTGTCTGGGCCACTGCCCTGATCCAAGCCACCATCATCTGCAGTGGCCTCCAGGGTCTATGTCCCTGCTTCTGTCCCCACAGTCTGCTCCCCACGTGCAGAGAGACGGACCCAAGTCAGATCATGGGCCTCAAAACCCTCCTGTGGCTCTGTCTCAGGGCAAAAGCAAAAGTCCTCACCATCTCCCCTCATTCACTCTCCTCCATTGCTCACTCCACTCTCCACGCATGCTGGCATGTCACTAAACCCACCAGCATCCGCCTACCTCACAGCCTTCGCACTGGTTGTTCCCTCTGCCTGGAACAGCCTCCCCCTAGATGGCCACATGGCTTCATCCCTCCATCAGGTCTTCACTCAAATGCCACCTTGTCAGTGAGTCACCTTTTCCCCAAGCACCTGTTCCAAGTCTCAACACACACACACATCCACATTTCATATCCCCTGTCCCTGCTTTCTTATCTCCCCTGGTGGTGCGGTGGTTAGGTGCTCGGCTGCTAACCGAAAGGTCGGTAGTTGAAACCCACCAGCCTCTCCGTGGGAGAAAGGTGTGGCAGTCTGCTTCTGTAAAGATTTCAGCCTTGGAAACCCAACGGGGCAGTTCTGCTCTGTCCTACAGGGTCGCTATGAGTTGGCATCGGCTCCATGGCAAGGGGTTTGGTGTTGGGTTTTAGCATTGCTCACCGTCTGGTCCTCTTGTTTATCCACCTGGTTCACATTTCCCCACTAAAAGGTAACAGCTGTGGGATAGCAGGGATGTTGCTCAATTTTGCTCACTGCTGATCCCCTTAGTAGGGACTCACTAAAGGTCTGAATGGCCCAGCGTCCAGGGTGGGTTCCAGACTTAGTGTGTTTGAGACTTGGATCCTGCCCTCAAGAGCTGGGTTTGGCATTGGGGTTCCAAAGGAGGAACCAGGTTCCAAGGAGGTCTCACTCCTAGCGCAGGGTTCCAGCTGCCTCCCAACCCCGCGGTCTCATTCCCTGATTCTGGCCTGAGGATGCCCATACCTGTATCCAACCCTCACCCCTCCCCTGACCTCCATCCCTGGGACCCAGTGGATTTCTAGATGCCTACCTGGGGGTCCCAGCCCCTCACAACCACCATGTCCCAACCTGATCTCAGCATCTCTTCTAAGCCTGCTGCTCCTCCCCGGCCCTGACTCAGGGTGGCCCCACCATCCACTAGTCTCCAGGCTAGAGCCCTGAGTCTCACCCTGGACACCTCCCTCCCCTCCCCGTGGTCTGTCTACTCTCCTCCTGCTCGTATTTCCCACCAGCCCCTTCTTCCCCTCCCCACAGCCCTTCTCTGGTCCAGCTCCAGCCTCTCCCTGGACTACTGGGCCCCAGTTTTGGTGACCACCCCCAATCCAGGGGGATCTTTCCAAATCTGACTATGCCCCTCCCCTTGATAAAACTCTCCAATCTCTCCCCTTCTCAGTCAGAATAAAACCCAAAGTGCTAATTGCACATCACAAGGCCGTTGCACCTTCTAAAAACCAAAACCAAAACCAAACCTATTGCCTTTGAGTCAATTCCCACTCACAGAGACCCTATAGGACAGAGTGGAACTGCCCCATAGGTTTCCAAGGCTGTAATCTTCACAGAAGCAGACTGTCACATCTTTCGCTCACAGAGTGGTTGGTGGGTTTGAACTGCCGACCTTTTGGTTAACAGCACAATGCTTAACCACTGTGCCACCAGGGCTCCTTTTGCATCATCTAGGCCCTGCCAATGTCTCTGATGTCACCTCCTCCTGTCTCCCCCTTGCCTCCTCTTCTCCAGCCACACTGGTCTTCTCTCTGTTCTTCCACTTCAGGGTCTTCACATCTGCTGTGCCCCCGCCTGGAAGGATTTCCCCCTTCATCTCTGAGTGTCACCTCTGGAGAGGCCTTCTTGACCACCACATCTAAAATCTCACCACCAACAATTTGCCATTTCTATCCCCTTTATTGCTTTATCCTCATCTGTTCTTTTCTTCCCCCCACCCGTCTGTCAGTTTGTTGTACTGTGGAGGCTTGCGTGGTGCTACAACGCTGGAAGCCATGCCACTGGCATTTCAAACACCAGCAGGGTCACCCATGGTGGGCAAGTTTCAGCAGAGCTTCCAGACTAAGACAGACTAGGAAGAAAGCTCTGAAGATCTACTTCCAGAAATCAGCCAATGAAAACCCTGTGGACCACCATAGAACATTATCCGACTCACTTGCTTTGGACACATCATCAGGAGGGATTAATGGCTGGAGGAGGACCTCGTGTTTGGTGAAGCAGAGGGCCAATGAGGGCAAGGGGGACCTTGGGTGAGGTAGACTGGAACAGCAACCTCAGTGATAGACTTGACATGCCAGCCACTGGGAGGATGATACAGGACTGGGCAACATTTTGTTCTGTTGTACATAAGGTTGCCATGAGTTGGAGTCAACTTGACTGCAGCTATCTATCTATCTTGTCTTGAAGAAGTGAAGCCAGAATTCTTAGAAGCAAGGATAGCAAGACTACGTCTTACATACTTTGGACATGTTATGAGGAGGGATCAGTCCCTGGAGAAAGACATCATGCTTGGTAAGCAGAGGGTCAGTGAAAAAGAGAAAGACCCTCAGTGACATGGATTGACACAGCGGCTGCAACAATGGGCTCAAGATAATAACGATTGTGAGGATGGCACAGGACCGGGCAGTGTTTTGTTCTGTAGTCCTTAGGGTCACTATGAGTCGGAACTGACTCGACGGCACCTAACAACTACACCTATCTATCTATTCTTTCCTGCATAGTTCGTTTGACTTCTCTGCCTAGAGCTGGTCCTTTATTTATTTATTTATTGCCTGTCTCCCCCGCCGCAATATAAGCTACATAAAGACAGAACTACTGTCTATTTTGTTTCTGTACTGGAGTCAGATTGCCTGGGTTGGAATTCCAGCTCCACCACCCAGCTGTATAACCTTGGGCATGTTACTTCATCTCTCTGGGCCTCAGTTTATACCCATTGTCGTCCAGTCGATTTCAACTCATAGTAGCCCTATAAGACAGAGTAGAACTGCCCAGTAGGGTTTCCAAGACTATAATCTTTATGGAAACAGATTGCCACATCTTTCTCCCATGGAGTGGCTGGTGGGTTTGAATCCCCAACCTTTCAGTTAGCAGCCGAGGGCTTACCAGGGCTCCTTGGGAAGATAATAGTATCTAACTCATGGGTACTGTGCAGATTAAATGTTAAGTGCTTAGAACAGTGCCCGGCACAGACAAAAATGATGATCATAGTGACATTGGTGATCAATTACAATTTTTAGAATGAATGAATGGATTAATTAATAACTGAGAGAGTGGGTGGGGGAATGCCCTCCTAAGGTCCCACTGTGGGGAACGGGCTGGGCAGGGTCATTTGGGGATCACCTGGAAGCGCAGGATGATGGTCCAGACCAGCCCCAGGGTCAGCCGGTGGTTCCCGTCCACGATGTCGTGTGAGCCCACATTCTCCAGGTGCACACGCTGCTCCTTCAGGAACTGCAGCGCCTTATCCACGTTCTCCAGCGAGTGGATCCGCATGCGGCCGCGCGTGGGCCTCGGCTAGCGTGGCAGGGACATTGGGCAATCAGGGACTTTGCCAAGAGCACCAGCGTCGCAGGCCCAGCCTTTACAGAAATCCTGCCCCTCCCTTAGCCACGCCCCAGGTCGTCCAAAACCCAGAACCCACCCCTTCCAGATAAGCCCCGTTCCTTCCGTTCCTTCCTTCGGAGAAGCTGGAAGCCAGATCCCCTTCCACCTGGCCTGTTCCAAGGAAGCCATGCCCCTGCCACAGTCACTCCTAGAATATTCCAAACTCAGGACCCTCCCCTCCCATAGCCCATCTCCTCCAAGTTCCCTGGTCTCTTGTATTCCAAAATAGCCACACACCCCTAGGGACACTGGCTGATCCAAGCCACAAGTCTTTCTAATGACACTCCCTGTCTGTCTCATAACCAAAATCCTTTGTCATAGCCACGCCCAAGACCAGGATGCCCTTCGAAAGAAGCTCCGCCCCTTCCATAGCAAGACCCTTTCAAATTCCCAGCCCCGCCCCTTTCCACTGCGCTCTAACCACACCCCTTCCCATGAAGCTCCTCCCCCTGCCCGTAGTCAATGTTCTGCTCCTTCCATGAGATCTCTGCCCCAGTCCTCTAACGTTTTGCCTAATTCCATGGCCACACCCTTCACTGTCTTTGGGGTGGGGGGCTGCCTGGAGCGACACCCATTCCAATCAAGCCCCGCCCACCCAAACTCTCAGGTTCTGTAGCTCTCTTTCCAACGGCCATTGTTCCTATTCTACAGCCAAGCCCCACAACGCCCTAAGCTCCAGGCCTCTGCCCCTTTAATGGATCTCTAGTCCCATCAGAGTCCCACCTTTGCAATGAAGTCCCATCCAAGCCGGGAAACACAACCCCAACGAATGCCACAAGCCACACCGGGACGACACGAGTTCCATCCGTGCTCTATACCAAAACCAAACCCTCTGCCGTCAAGTCGAGTTCGACTCATAGCGACCCCGTACGGTTTCCGTGGAGCGGCTGGTGGGTTGGAACCTCTGAGCTTTCGGTTAACAGCCGAGCGCTTCAACCACTGTGCCACCACTTTCTGTGCTGTATAGCATGACCCATGGATACCTGGTGGCACAGTGGTTAAGAGCTCAGGCTGCTAACCAAAAGGTCAGCAGTTCGAATCCACCAACTGCTCCATGGAAACCCTATGGGACAGTTTTACTACTCTGTCCTATAGGGTCACTATGAGTTGGACTCGACAGCAACGTTTTTGTGTGTCTGTGTGTGTGTTTTGGTTTGCTTTTTGGTTTGGTTTGGTTTGGTTATAGCACGACCTAAGCCTCACCCTTTCCATGAAGAAGGCCCCACAGTCTACCTCCACAGCCCGCCGCAAGAGGGTTCAGCCCGTTTTCAGAGCCATGTCCTTTGTTACCTACAACCCAGGCCCGGTCCCTTCTCATAAAGCTCCTCCCTTCTCCAATAATCCCACCCCTTCCAGAGGAAACTGTACCCAAGTCCAGAGTCCCGCCCCAACCCTAGCCAGACCCCTTCAATAGAATCCCGGCACAGCACGTCCCAGGCTCCCTACAAGCAAGCTCCACCCCTGTGTCATAGCCACTCAAAAGAAGGGGCCTCTCACCAAGTTCCTACTGGGAAGGTCCACCCGTCCATAAGCCGCTGCTTGTAGCCCAGCCCTTCCAGCGATGCCAACCCCAGCCGCAGCCCTGAGCCCCTAAGCCCACTCCTCCCCACCCCCATCCTCCCCGCACCCCGCTTCAGGCTCGCTTACCAGCTGCTCCCCAGACAGCACTTCCAGGAGCCGGGTGAGCACGAAACCGTCCCGGAGGTCCGCATAGAGGTCCCCGATGTGGCAGCCCACGCGGGCGAGGTGTGAGTTCACCCACTTGGTGAAGGTTTTCTTCTGCACGGCCTCCCGCTCGTCTGTGGGACAGGCCCTGATGAGTCCTCACCTCCCCAGGAACTCCAGACCCCCAAATGAGGCACCAATCTCTCCAGCTTCACTCCAGCCCACCCCACCCCATTCCCATCAAGCCCTGCTGAGGTCCAGCTCTCTGCAATAGCCAGGCTTCTCTGCACAGGCGGTTCCCCCACCAGCGCCGATCACCTGGAGGCAGCCTCCCAGTCCAACTGGAAGACTTCCCTGTGTCCTACCCCAGTCAGCTCTATTCGTTCATTCAATAAATATTTATTGAGCGTCTACTCTATATCTAGCACACTTCTACCCATTCCCATCCAGTCAATTCTTCTCATAGCGACCCTATAGGACAGAGTTGAACTGCCCCATAAGGTTTCCAAGGCTGTAATCATTATGGATTGGTAGAAAAAAGAGGAAGACCCTCAAGGAGACGGATTGACGCGGTGGTTGCAACAATGTGCTCAAGCATAATGATTGTGAGGATGGTGCAGGACCGGGAAGTGTTTCGTTCTGTTGTACACAGGGTCGCTATGAGTCAGAATCAACTCCACAGCACCTAACAACAACAATCATTATGGAAGGAGACTGCCACATTTTTCTTCCGCAGAGCAGCTGGTGAGTTCGCGGACCTTTCAGTTAGCAGCCCAAGGCTAACCACTGCACCACCAGGGATCTGTAAATACAATGCCCTACCCTCACAGAGCTCAGATTAGTGGGGGCACAGATAATACATAAGTGAGCATCAGAGAGCCATGGAGGGTTTAAGGAGGGGGAAGACAGGTTGAGAGTTGTATTTCAGGAATCTCTCTCTGGCTGCTGTGTGGGTGGTGATTTAGAAAGGACAAAATGGCAGCTGGGAGCCCAGGGAGGAGACTGGGTACAGGACTCTGGAGAGAGAGGATGAGGCTGCACTAGGGCAGAAACCGAGGGCAGGAACCAAGTTTCCCCCAACTCTTGCTCAGAGCAATGGTGTTGTAGTTGATCACAGGGCTGCCAGCTAGGTACTGCATTCCCCACGCCCCTAGGGGCCAACACAGTAGGCACATGACTCAGTTCTCACCGATGGGAGGGAAGGGGAAGAAATGTGTCCAACTTCTTCCTCACTTGCTTAAAAGGAAACTGCTCAGTACCTCTTGGTAGTTATCTTTTTTTTTTTTTAACTAACAGCTTTATTGAGATATAATTCACATACCATAAATATTTACCCTTATTAACTGCACAATTTAGTGATTATAGAGTATATTTACAGAGTCCTGCAGCCACCACCACTATCTAATTCCAGAACATTTTCATCACCCCAAAAAGAAATCCCATACTCATTAGCTGTCACTCCTAATTCCCCTTTTCCCCCCAATCCCTAGGCAACCACAAATCTATTTTCTGTCTCTATAAATTTCCCAGTTCAGAATATTTCATTTAAATGGAATCATACGATATTTGTCCTTCTTGGTATAATGTTTTCAAGATTCATCCATGTTGTAGCATGTTTTAGTACTTCATTTCCTTTTTATGACCAAATAATATTCCACTGTATGGGTATACTATACCTTATCCATTCATCAATTGATGGACATTTGGGTTGTTTCCACTTTTCAGCTATTATGAATGCTATGAACATTCCTGCACAAGGTTTTGTGTGGACATATGTTTTCAATTCTCTTGGGTATATACCTAGGAGTGCTGGGTTATATGGTGTTATGGATTAAATTGTGTCCCCTAAAAATATGTGTTGTAAATCCTAGCCTCTATGCCTGTGGTTATAATACCATTTGGGAATGGGTTGTCTTTGTTACGTCAATGAGGCAGGATTAGTGTATGGTGTGTCTTGAGTCTCTTTTGAGACATAAAAGAGATTAAACAAGTGAGCAGAGCAGAGATGGGGGAAGAGAGATGCCAAGCCACATGCGAATCACCCAGGAGTAGAAGCTCAGTAGAGACAAGGACCTTCCCCCAGAGCCAACAGAGACAGAAAGCCTTCCCTGAGAGCTGGTACCCTGAACTTGGACTTCCAGCCTTCTAAACTGTGAGAAAATAAATTTCTGTGGTTAAAGCCATCCACTTGTGGTACTTGTTACAGCAGCACTAGATAACTAAGACATATGGTAACTCACTGTTTAACTCCTTAAGGCACTGCTAGACTGTTTTCCAAAGTGGCTGCACCATTTTACATTCCCACCAGCAGTGGGTGAGGGTTCCAATTTCCCCACACCCCCACCAATAGTTGTTATTTTCTGTCTTTTTGATTACAGCCACCCGCCAAAACCAAACTAAACCAGATGCTGTCGAGTCATCTATGACTCATGGAAACCCCATGTGTGTCCGAGTAGAACTGGGCTCCACAGAAGTTTCCATGGCTGCTGTTCTCTTTTGGAAGCAGATCACCAGGCCTTTCTTCTGAGGTGCCTCTGCGTGGACTCTAACGGCCAGCCTTTCAGTTAGTAGGTAAGCATGTTAACCGTTTGCACCACTGAGGGTCTCCTATAGCCATCCTAGTGGGTGTGAAATGGTATCTCATTGTGGTTTTGATTTGCATTTCCCTAATGACTAATACAGCCTTCAGTATGGATTACACCTCAACATAAGAAAACAAAAATCCTCACAACTGGACCAATAAGCAACATCATGATACACACAGAAAAGATTGAAGTTGTCCAGGATTTCATTTTACTTGGATCCACAATCAATGCCCATGGAAGCAGCAGTCAAGAAATCACACAATGCATTGCATTGGGCAAATCTGCTGCAAAAGACCTCCTTAAAGTGCTAAAAAGCAAAGATGTTGCCTTAAGGACGAAGGTGACCTGACCCAAGTCATAGTATTTTCAATCGCCTCATATGCATGCAAAAGCTGGACAATGAATAAGGAAAAATGAAGAAGCATTGATGCTTTGAATTATGGTGTTGGTGAAGAATATTGATTATACCGTAGACTACCAGAAGAGCAAACACATCCGTTTGGGAAGACGTACAGCCAGGATGCTCCTTAGAAGCGAGGATGGCGAGACTTTGTCTCACATACTTTGGACATGTTATCAGAAGGGACCAGTCCCTGGAGAAGGACATCATGCTTGGTAAAGTAGAGAGTCAACGAAAAAGAGGAAGACCCTTAACGAGATGGATTGACACAGTGGCTGCAATAATGCGCTCAAGCATAACAACGATTGTGAGGATGGCACAGGACCGGGCAGGGTTTTGTTCGGTTGTACACAGGGTCGCTGTGAGTCAGAACCGACTCTGCGGCACCTAACAACAATACATTGACCAATGACAATGAGCATATTTTCATGTGCTTTTTGGCCATCTGAATATCTTCTTTGAAGAAATGTCTATTCAAGTCCTTTGCCCATTTTTTTAATTGTTTTTTTTTTTTTTTGGTCTTTTTGAGTTCTATCTATACTATCTTTAGGACTTCCTGTGAAGATATCATTATTTCAGAATTAAAAGCTGAGGTCCCTAGGTGGCGCAAACGGCTTGTGGGTTTGTGATCAACTGTCACGTAAAGGTTGGTGGCTGGAACCTCCCCATCACCACCACCGTGGTGACATGAAAGATAAGCCTAGTGATCACCTTCTGTTAAGACTGAAGCCAAGCAAACCCTATGGAGCACTTCTACTCTGTAACCCATGGGAGTCACCATGAGTCGGAATTGACTCGACAGCCACTAACAGCAACCAATAAAAGAGGAAAAACAAAATTAAAACCTAAAAAAAAAAAAAAAAAAGGAAATTGTTGCCTCCCTGCCACCCCAAGCTGGAAAATCAGGTTTACAGAGCATTAGATGGGTAGAAGGAACCCGGGGTCCACAATGACTGCTTGGAACGGAACCTCCCTGCCGTGTAGACCTCTCAGCTTGGACAACCCTTTAGGCCCATCTCCTTTAAGTCACTGTATTGTGGGCTGCGTACAATTATCAGTAGAATCTTATCATTAAGTAATTTGTAGCCATATTTTCTTAAGTTTCCTATTAGTGCAAGAGCAAAGATTTGCATTGCTAGTCTATTTTCCTTTTTGACCATGTGAAAGCTCTCAGTATTTTTTCATAAAGGTACACCTTTGATAACATTATTCAGCACTGCAACAGCATTGTACTCTTGCAGTAGAAAATACACACGGTGAGGTCACCTGACCGACCTGTATTTGTTCACTTCAAGTTGCATCCTGAATGGTACCTCTAGTTTGGAAGTGAATATGCAGGTATTTCCAGTAAATCTGAACTAAATAGCTGGTTTGTTTAAATGTGGGTTTTGTGCAGGTTAAATAGGATAGGGAGCTGTGCGAACACATCATCGTGGATCGCGCCTAAGAAAATGATGGCAGAGAAGATGTTGAGTTGGGTATTTGGTGGTCCTGCCTTCCATGGGCCCACGCCCATGCCAAATTGCCGATTTTGGCCAGTCCTGAAGCCCAAGTGGAACCTGAGTGCATATCCAGCGCGGTGCCAGACCACTGTCCCAGAAGCAAGGATACCTGTAGTCGTCCCGCCCCTATTGACTACCAGCCAGCCCTATGACTTCCCAAGGTCACCTCCCCTCGCTAGGCCACCATTTTCCCATCTGTAAAACCAGGGGCTTGCTCTAGATCAGGGTTTGTTCCAGGAGACCCTGGGAGTCTGAGAATTCATGCCTGGGGGAGAGCGGTCCATGAGAATATTGCTTATTTTGTAGTTTTATTTCTTTTTCTTTCTTTACATAAAAAAATTTTACAATATTTTATCGTTTTTTTTTTTTTTTTTGGGGAAAGCTTACACAACAAATTAGGTTCCCATTTAACAATTTTTTTTTTTTAGGGTTTTCTTTCTTTTTTATTTTTTTGAACATTTTATTGTTGTTTAGGTGAAGGTTTACAGAGCAAACTAGTTTCTATTCAACAATTTGTACACAGCTTGTTTCGTGACATTGGTCGCAAACCCCTGAATGTGTCAGCACTCTCCCCCCTTCTTCCATGGGTTCCCCATGTCCATTTGTCCAGCTTTCCTGCCCCTACTGTCCTTCTGAACTTCGCTTTT